TATCCAGTGAATTATTCTTCACTCTTTAGTCTATTGAACAGCTTATAAACCTACTAAAACTGTAGTTTAAAATGAAGTTGTTATGAATCCTTTATTTATTTTCTCCATTTAAAAACATTAGACCTTCTACATTTATTTTGCTTATTGTTAATATTAGTGTTGCTGCTGATGCTTTAAATACAATGTTTTTTTATTGTTGTAATATGACGATTAAATTTAACATGAAAGACTGCTAATTTTCAACACTTTTTTTTTAAGATGACTGAAAGGAGGAAAAACCAAAGTGAAGCATGGACTTACTTTACTCAGTCATTTATTTACTTTATAACAGTAAATAAATATCGGTTCTGCATATCGGTTATCGGGCACATAAACATGTAAATAACTGGTATCGGTTATAAAATATCAATATCGGTCGATCACTAATTGTGACATTACTGTGATTAAATGTGCCCCATATACTCTATTTAAGTACTGTATATTATACTTGTATTTTAAAACAGACTTACGTTAGAAGAGCAATAGTTGCTGTCAGAATAACGGTCATTAACGGATTTAAGGCGGGGCTTAAGAGAGGGACAGTTATTGTCACGAATCAATGCATCAAAATGACCTTAAATTAGGCTTTCTTTATACATTTGATTTTAATTTTTGGTGAAATATGTCCCGGACATGTAGTAAATTATCGTAAATCACATAAATGATCTCAGACGCAAACAGCTGTACAGTATTCTGTCAGTAATACCGGCTATTCTACTTAAGTATTTCATATGTAATGAAAAACAGACTAAAATAATAATGTCTGTGATTGTTGTAGTACCCATTTTCCTACAATCATCCTCTTGTCTGTCAATGCCGCTCATTTTCATCATTAAACTGAAGTCATATCCAGCGAAGTTGTCGCTCCAGTCCAGCAGGGGGCGGAAGTGCGTCATATGTTGCTGGGACGGAAGTAGAGCAGTGTTTTCTTTCAGCCGCTGCGTTATTAACGTGTTTCAGGTCGGTTATCTGAACTTACATCATAATCTGCTTTATGACTTTCTGATATGCTTTCTCGGATCTCGCTACTGGACGGTTTAAATGATTTAAGTTTTACAGAGAAGAGAGCAGAATATTATGTTTAATATCTCAAGTCCAGCAGCTAAACGTATGTTTTAAAGAAAGGTGACATTTTTTAACCATGATTTTATTGTAGTAAAAGTGTAGTAACCATGGTTTTTGGGCGTATTGATTACCAATTATATAACCACAATTTCCCTAAACAGCATGGTTAAAGTATGGTTAGTGTTGCAAAACCGTTGTTAATTTTTGGTTACCATGGTTTAATTATAGTAACCTGTTTTTCTTTTGCTGTTTGGGCGGCGTTATGCAAATCTTCCCACATAGTGACGTAGACGTGGGGGCGTGTTAGAACGAGCTGTTTTAGGTAGGTGTATATCTCTTTGGATTTAAGACTTTAGTCTTTGCAACTTTACAGATCTTCTTTATGCACCAAGAGCTTGTAACACTCCAAAGAGAAAGGAACAATTGAAATCGCATCATATGACCCCTTTAAAATTGTATTTGGAACGTTTTATCAAATACTTATTTATGTTTAGAGTTTGTTTCACCATTGTCCCAGACATTCAGTCAAAAACCATAAAAAAACTATTATAAATATATAGTCTATGCCTAGCTAAAACTATAATGATTTTACCAAGAATCAGTGACATTATTGACTGGCCATATGAAAGCAATGAACTTTACCAGTTTATATTAATATAAAGAAAGCTTGTTTACATGCATGGTCAGCAGTGAAATATACAGTATAAAGTTCATGATGATAAAATATTTAACCATTCACTCTTAAGGTCGGGACAAACCAAGCCAACGGTCGGGATAGTTTGTTTGGTGTGTTCCACACTTCGGCACGAGTTAGAACTCTGATTGGATGTTCAGTTTAGGAGTCAGTGCTATGAATTCTGAGAGCATTCTGACCCTCCCATAGACAGCAAGTGTCCTTACACGATCAAGGCTCAGAAACGTAGCAAGGAGATTGGTAAAATAATCCATGTGACATCAGGGGTTCAACCGTAATTTTATGAAGCTATGAGAATATACCTTGTTTTCGTTCAATCAAAGCGTTGGTACAATGTAGAAATCGTATCCGCGTGACACAGCTGACACAGAACAGTGTTACGGGGCGACAGAGAAGTGAGACGTGCGGATCCATCAGCATGCTTTTATTTAAGAGACGTGGTCATAACCATATGCAAGGCTTTATTTCCAAGACGTGGTCATATAACAGGCATGGGTCAAACAATGGCAAACAGGTACAACACAGGCAAGACAAAGAGTAATCCTAGGACAAGCGTGGGTCATCGATTGGCGAACGTAATCCAGAGGGCTTGACAAAATCTGTAAACACGAGCAATAGTCAAAGGACCGGAAAACAGGCAAGGCAACACTAGACTAGGACTTGGAAATAAACAATGGCTAACGAAATGGCTCCGTAACATAGCTATCACTGACTAGCGATATGCGCATACAATACTCGGCGATCTGAACGAGGAAGTCCAGGGCTTATAAAGCGTGTCTGATTGGATTCAGCTGTGTGTGTGTAATCAGTGCAATGGAGTATGGGAAATGTAGTCCAGGGTGATGTGTAACAGTCTGTGTGGTGTGAGAGTCAATATCATGGGAGGGCGACCTCTGGTGGTAAGTGGATGGAAGTTCATGGACCGGATTCGTGACAAACAGCATACGCCGTTTACGTTCAGTGGATATTATCTAAAATGGCACCAGGGTGACACGGAGGAGACAAATTTGAATAAAGTCGTTATTTTTTTTCTTTTGCGTACAAAAATTATTCTCGTAGCTTTGTAAAATTACGGTTGAACCCCTGATGTCACATGGATAATTTTACCGATCTCCTTGCTACGTTTCTCAGCCTTGATTGTATAAGGACACTTGCTGTCTATGGGAGGGTCAGAATGCTCTCAGAATGCATCAAAAATATCTTAATTTGTTTTCCGAAGATGAACGAAGGTCTTACGGGTTTGGAACGACATGAGGGTGAGTAAGTAATGACAGAATTTTCATTTTTGGGTGAACTAACCCTTTAAAGTGAAAGTGATGAAAAGTAGTAAGCAATTGAAGGCGGCGCAGACAGAGGGCTGTTCTAATGTTATGTGATCTTTCCCAGGCATTCCAACATGCAAATATATTCATAACAACATGAGCTGCTTAAAATGAAGAAAGTTACCAACATGACTATTCAAAATAGTAAGCAAGCGCTGCTTTGTTTACGTGTTGTATATCGGCGCAGTCGGTTGTAGTCTGTGGTGTGTCCAAGCACAGCTTTTTGGTCCGACGCAAGGCAACAACACTGTCAGCTTTTGTCGCTGCTAGTTCTTTGAAGTCAGCTTGGTGTGTCCCGGCCTTAAAGCCCAAGAGACACGGCTGTCCCATCGTGAAACAGTCGTAGGGATTTCTGTGGCTCCTAATCGCTGGTCCTGTGTCGTACAGTGAGAGAGGTTCAAAGACGGCCGTTGTCACGGTCTTGCGACCAAAGATAGCCTACGATAATTTTCTGATAGTGTCAGAAATACAGCATGATCATCTCACAGTGTGTTCTCTGCTATGATCCACGTTCACTGATCAGCCAATAAAAATGCGACATGAAATCAACGCGACAGCGCTAAAACATAAAACTGCTTACCTCAAGCTCTTATCCCTTCTTCTTCCGCTGCTTCCACTTTATTCAGCACACAGAAAAACTACAATGGCCAAAGTGTGAATAT